ATATTGATTACTGTAGCTTTGGAATATAATTTGAAACCAGAAATGTGATGCTTCCTGCTTTGATTTTCTTCTCAGAATTGCTTTGTCTGTTTAGGGACTTTTGTGGTTTTCTACAAATATTAGGACTGGCTTTTCTATTTCTGTAGAAAACACCATCGAATCTTGATAAGGTTTTCATTGACTCTATAGATGGCTTTGGGTGTTATGGACAGTTTAACAATATTAATTCTTTTGATTCATGGACATGGGCTGCCTGTCTCTTTATGCCTTCAATTTCTTTTCTTAATGTCTTATAGTTCCCAGTGTAGATATCTTTCACCCCCTTGGTTATATTTATTCCTACGCTTTATATTATATTGATGTTGTTGGCGCTGGGGTTTTTAAGTTTCTTTTTCAGTTGTTTGGAAATACAATTAAGACAAATACAAATGACTTTTTATTGACCTATAGTTGACTTACAATATTGTGCTAGTTTCAGGCATACAGCAAAATGATTCAGTTTTATATTTATATTTCTTGTTCAGATTCTCTTCCATTATAGGTTATTACAAGAGACTGAATATAAGTCCCTGTGCTATACAGTAAATCCTTCTGTTTATCCATGTTATATATAATTAAACAGGAATTCTATTGCTCTAGGCTTTTAAATTTCAATGTTCTCTCTGGACAAGCACATACAAACACTGATGTAAAAATCAGAAACATACCCGAAAACTTAAAACCTTTCATATTACACCTTGAGGTTCTCTCTTTGGTTCCATAATTTTCTGCCTTTCCTCACGTTGAATTTCTCAATTAACTTACAGTTGCAGAGTTCAAGTGCTAAGAGAATCTAGGGCCAAAGGGCTGCAATATTCATGGATAAAGAAATCTAAAGGGAAGAAAGAAATATGGGAAGCAGGACAGACAAGCAGCCTGCTTCCCATGGAACAGAAGGCAAACCACATTCAGAAACACCTGCTAAGAGCATGAAAAAAGGAAACAAATGTTAACACCAGCAATGTAAAATTGTTATATTTTGCTTTTCTGAAATTCACCTCTTTCTTCAGTTTACACTTTTGTAAAATGGAGACTTCAAAAAAAAAAGTGAATAAATCTTTTTTGTGTGACAAACGCAGGAAGGAGCAATGCTGACAGGACAGATGACCCAGGAAGTTTCCCAAGATATACCCACACCCAGAGGACTTCCCGTAGGATGTCTGTGCCCAGAAAAG